AGGTTTGGGTTTACTGGAAAAGAAGCAGAATCAGTGAGTACAATGCAAAAAAAGGGGGGTGGTTCTACTCCAGGATGATGAGATCATCTGAAAAAGGTCTCTTCTTCCTCCTCCAACAAACATCTTCTACTTGCACTACTTGACAAGCCAAACGTTTTTTTGGTAGAAATGGCTTGACCCATTTGGAGGGTACCCACTTAGGCCCAGAGGGAGTGGATATGCAAGCGTATCCCCTCCCCCAGGTGACAAGCTCGAAGGGGCCCTCCACTTTCCAGGTCTCCGGGTCTCTTGCCATGACCCAGGACCTGTCCTTCAGCTCCAGTAGAGGGTTTGCGTGGTAACACCGAGTCATGGGTGGATTCAAATTTTCAAAACTGCAGTTTAAGAAGTTTAATCTGAAAAATGCTTTGGACAACCCGATCTGGGGAGGGTCCACGTTCACTGTCTCTCGCTGATGTCCGAGCGTTGAGACTCTGCTGAGCCCTCTTCCACCATGGTTTGACCTATTGAGGAATAAGTGATGCCGGTATGTCTTATTCCCCATTGTTGCAGGAAAGCTTCAAATTCCTTGGATTTGTGCCCCAGCCCATTATCCATTCGAAATTTCAAGGTCGAGGTACTTCCAAGGTGGCATCCTCTGAATTTTGTCACTTTGCAGCTCGAGCCCTGCAGCAATTAATGAAGATGTTGCCAGTTCAAGCGCATGGCTAAGTATGTCATTGCTGAGTGCACAAATTTGAATCCCCAATGATTACATACCTGCAACGGATCCAGTGCCAAGTACCTGGGGTCTTGGGCGAAACCGTTACTGCGAGGAAATTAGAGTTTCAGAGATGGATGGGCTTTGTCAACTGGAGTCTGAAGGGAGAAAGTTTAGATAATGTTGTCAGAATGGGTTTTTGGTTTAAGTATATAGGTGTTGCAGATGGTGAATCTTTAAAAGTCACGTCCGGTGAAACATTGGAAATCACATCGGGTAAAGCCATGTCAGTCATGTCAGCAACAAGTGGAATGTGTCTGAAGGGGTCTCCTCCCCTGCCCTCCCCACAGGATGCTTAATTGTTCTGCCTTAATTTTGTTGTCGCAAATGGAGGGGCTGCGCTTAGAAATATATTTTTTTTTCACCCCTCCTCAGAAAGCGACTGGCTCTATCTAAATTAAAGAAATTGTTGCTGCAGTGGACAAGCCAGGGCCCAGTGGCATGGCTTGACACAGAGATGACACAGGCAATCCTCGGGCAGTGGTGGGCCAGCAGGTCTTGGCATGGTTTGCATGCCTGTACCCAAAGTAGGATAAACATCAATGGGAGGTTTGGCAAAAGCAACTTTGAGAGCAGTTCTTGGTGTATGATCTTTTTGAGTAGGTTCCTCCGGAAGCACAGAAAACTTTTTTGCACAAACTTCAAGCATGAGTTGCAAGGTGGGGGGGGCGTTCTAGTGGGAGGCTGAGGATGGCCACCTTACACCTGGGATTGGTGTTAGCTGATGCCATCTCAGATAAAATCTCTTTACAAGCCTACTCACCCCAAACCTGCAACTCCACTGCCTTCCAAAGGCTGTAAAAGGCTCAGATGGAGATCAAAAAATTTTAGAGTATGTTAACAAGGGAGCATCAACTTGCAAAGCGAGGAATGGCTTTTCAGCCAACTACATGGCTTCTTTTAAAGCCTCTCAAGGTAGTACTTTGGCTTGAACCTGTCCTTGTGCCCAGTTTGTCAGGCCACAAAGATGATCAGTAGAGATGGGCAGTCCTTTCAAGTCTGCACCAGTCTGGAGCAGAGGGTGTCCAGCAATTGAATACCTTGCCTGGACTGTCTGAGAATCCATCTAGAGTAGGGCTTCTGAAGGGAGAAGAGCAACAGGTACCAATTGCCACTTCCACAGTGCATCGTCGACAGTATAGAACCACTCGAGATGCTGTGATTCCCATCCATAAGATGATCCGAGAGCTGGAGAGCCAAGGGATGGTCAGCAAGACCCACTCACCCTTCAACAGCCCCATCTAGCCTGTGCATAAATCTGAAGGAGAATGGAGACTGACGGTTGACTACCGTGCATTGAATGAAGTGACTCCACCACTGAGCGCTGCTGTGCCAGACATATTAGAGCTCCAGTATGAGCTTGAGTCCAAGGCAGCAAAGTGGTATGCCACTATTGATATTGCCAATGCATTTTTCTCCATTCCGCTGGCAGCAGAATGCAGGCCTCAGTTTGCCTTCACCTGGAGAGGTGTGCAGTACACTTGGAACCGGCTGCCCCAGGGGTGGAAGCACAGTCCTACCATCTGCCATGGACTGATCCAGAGTACACTAGAAAAGGGTGAAGCTCCAGAACATCTGCAATATATTGATGACATCATTGTATGGGGGAAGACAGCAGCAGAAGTGTTTGAGAAAGGAGAAAAAATCATCCAGATTCTCCTGAAAGCTGGCTTTGCCATCAAGAAGAGCAAAGTCAAGGGACCTGCTCAAGAAATCCAGTTTCTGGGAGTGAAATGGCAAGACGGACGGCGTCAGATTCCCACTGATGTCATCAACAAGATAACAGCAATGTCTCCACCATCCAACAAGAAAGAAACACAAGCTTTCC